CCTTGTCCTAAAGCAACTACTGTATGCTTAGTGGTTGGCCAGTGGGGTGCAGGAATTACACTTATTACTAAGCTATAATTGCATGCTATTCCAGACTGAATATTCAGAGTAGCATGGTAAACAATACAGGGAGCGCATCACAGGCTGTCATTGTTATAAAATGAACAAATGTGACGTGAATAAAAAAGCAACTTTAGCTCATTAAAGCAAGCTAGGCAGAATAACGCTATTTAATGATGTTTTGGTGTTAAACTAAATAAAAATCTACATTATTGATGCTGTAAAAGGTCACATCAAGCTTTGCCGTAAGTGGCTGAACAGCACTTCTGTGCATATAACCCATTCGTAAAACAACAAAACCTACATCAGCTTTGCGTGATTAAAAGAGTTTTAAAAAAGAACATTAGCTGTCTAATAGAAATACTTCAGCCATGGTGTCATCCTTTGTGCAAAAGTAACTCCAATATTGATTTGTATTTACTTTACTCATTACTATTGGAATGTGAAGACTATTATTAAGACAATATTGATTTAGGATTTTGATATTTTGATTTAGCATTTGTTTTTACTGTTGTCACTCTTTCTTGTGTGCCCATGTCATGAACGCGGCACAAATGGCAGATCTGTCTGTGTGAATGATAGACAGATGTACAAATCTACATTTGTTGACAGACAGTTTGGGCTACCTACCAGAATTATGGGAATTGTCGACCCGACAAATTTTAATTGGATAAACATTTTTTAGTTTTATGCCTTACCCAGAAAATAAAAATACATTTAAATACATTTAGATCATTTACTTTAATTAGTACTATTGAAATGTGGAGACTTTCAACCAGTACAAGAAATGCTTCTCAAGACAATCAGCTACTGCACCTTTAACTGTAAAATCATCAAACAAACAGTACAGACAAAATTAACTTAATTCAATGGCCCCCAATATTAAAAAAGGCCTTATGAAGTCAAATAATCAGTCATATATTGAAAGTTGTACGGAAGACAGATTGTCATGCTTTGCAAAATCTCAGTGTTACATTAGGATCTACAAATACGTATATATTTTGACCTCTTTTAGTATTCAAAGCCATATATATATATATATATATATATTTTTGACTCTCAAAATGAGTAATGTTACCACTGACTAATATTTTTATAAATCATCTAAGGTTTCACTCATTTTCCTTTGGCTTAGTCCCTGATCTATCAGGAGTCACCACAGTGGAATGAGCTGCCAATTACTCTGGCATATGTTTTATGCATTGGGTGCTCTTCCATCCACAACATAGCACTGATAGTACCCTAACCCGTGAACCCCTAGTGCTAGGAAACACGCATACACTCTCTTATTCACACATGCACACTCGTATACTTTCAAATGGAAAATGTCAAGGTGTCATATGTCAAAATGTTGTTTTAATGCCTGCTGTGTTTTCCGTAATGATACAGAACCCAAGGACTTAATTCTATCACAGCACAATAGAAGGCAAACATGTGCTGTAAAAGCCTGACAATGTCTTTTCTGCCAAAACCACTATATCCAGGGAATATCCAGCTCTCAATGCTTGACAGAGAGTTTCCAGCACCTTCTTTCTGTTTGCAAAGCACTGAGTGCAAATAAACCAGTGAAATATTTCACAAGTAGACTCCTGAACAACACTTTCCTGCTATTAGAGCGCTTGATCTCAACATTTTCCTACAGGACTGTTGTTATGTCACATTAAAGATGTTTTAAATGAAAATGTAAAGTATTCTGAGGCAGTGTAAAACCTTTTTTAACTTGCGTTTTATTCTGACAAGATTCCTCAGGTGGATGCGGTAGGGAAAACTACCGAATGTCAGCAAAAGATGTTTCATTTAATACCTTTGAGTTTTGTTTCTGGGACGTTTAAAGATCCCACTCCTACCTGCCTGCCAGACTCCAGTCTCACATCTGCTGAGATGTGACTCACAGGCGAGATGTGAAATACAGATGTGTGCTGCTTTTGATTATGGAAGTCATTTGGTTTCAGAGTCCGATCACTTTAATTAGGATTCTAGTGTCACATTGCCTTTGCTGCAAGTGAAAGCCGGGCCTGTTGCTGTTCATGCCTTCTTTTTTGTTGTTTGTTTACCGACGTTCTAACACTTATTTTTTTACATTTTTAGCATGGCTTTACGTTATTGATGATGTGAATGACCAGACACTACTGTGAAAATTCTCACTCCAGAAATATTTACTAGTCCAACATTGTCTCTCTTGGCTGTGTTTTCTCAGACAGTGGACAGAGCAACCATGGCACCAGCGCCAAGAGTGAGAGGCTTAGCGTTAAACTGAAAACTCTTCCAGGATCCAATGAGCCGTATGAAGCCAGTACTCAACAGGAAATAGGTCAGAAACAACAGTTTGTCATCTTTTTATTGAAGATCACCTTTTTTAAGTCTTGCCAAAAAAAAGTGATTAATACTTTACCGGTCAAAAGATAAATTATGATTGCATTTTCATAATCAAATAAGGTTTAATCTATACTCAAGTTTTCTTCATTCGGAAGAATGCTTCATATTCTTGGCCAGGCCTGTCATTCTTAAAAGCACCCAATGTATTTTTCATTTTAGATGCTTCTTATGTCGATCCATTGGGGCCTCAAACACAGAGGCCAAAAACTGCAGCAAGGAAACGCAATGAGGAGGATGAGTTTGCTGATGAAGAGCTGGGAGATGATTTACTGCCTGAGTGAGGAGAGCAGCAGGAGTCCAGTGGAAACAATGATCCATCTTTAGAAAGTGCTTTCGTCTTCATTGTCAGCTTAAACAACAGTACGGTAGCTTAAAAAATACTTTCATTTCAATATGCTGAACTATATTTGATCAGAGAAGGCATTATCTTTATATAATTCTATTTAAGAAATACACTACTCATCCTGAATTATTTATTTCATCTGTTAGTTGTATTGTAAAGATATAAACCTTTGTATGACTGAATTGTGAAATATTAAAAAGAATGGTTGTAGAGATTTTTACTCAGCATCTAATCTCTTAATATATAAAAGGGAAATTATGGTTTTTGGCTTCAGCTCGAGCTGATGGGGATCTTTCTTCAGTATCAAACAGTCCGCCCAGTGTGTGGAGTCGAGTATCCTGATCGCATTTACGGGACAGACGGATGAGGCACTGCTTTACGCAACAATTGGGAAGTTTATGTGGGTCGGTTTGAGCTCTCTACAGGTCTGCTTTTACTCAAGCAACAGTCGCTTCGTCACACTAAAGAGACTTTAGACGCTGTGTGAACTGAAATGCGCGCTCCAGTTGTGTCGACGCTTGTTCTAGTCTGGCTGTGGTGCTGCGGGAGCGCGCCGGGTGAACGGGGACAGAAGGTGTCCAGGAGAGCGCCGAGGACTCGCTCGTGTCTAGATTTACCGGAGGAGATTTTGGAGCAGATGTTCGGGAGGCTCTCGGTCGGGGTACTGAGCGCGTTTCATCACACTCTGCAGCTTGCGACTCCGGAGCGCCAGAATCTGAGCTGTGGATCAGCGTCCCGCTTGGCGCGCGACAGACCGCGAACACCGGTCAATCTGCTCAGCCTTTCTCCTTGGGCGTACAGGTAACCGTAAACAACGGGAACAAGACTGTAAAACTAAATAATTTCATGATTCTGCTTAATTGAGAGCGGTTAGCTTTTCAGAACTTAAGAAATTAGAACTTGTTCAAACTCTATAGTTATCTACAAACATATTCATTTAAATACGAATGTTTAGTTGTACTGGCTTTAAAAGGGATGTTCACCCAAAATGATTATTTACTATTATTTTGCTTAGTTGAAGTTACAGCTGAGGTGACTTGCTTTCTTACATAAAATAATATTCATCGAGTCAACAGGTACAGGTGTGCCGAGAAACGCACCCCTGTCGCAAAATGCACCCTCATACTCATTAGCATCCTCTGTCTATTTTTTTAAATCAAGGCCACAATTCATTTAAAACGTAAAACGGTTGTTTTGATGGATAAAGCAAGAATAAGTGAAACGCATTTTAAAACGCGCTATATTACATTTACAAATGTAAAATAACATTGACTTGACTTGGCTTTTTGGTGGGTTTTAAACAAAGTTGTTGCTGTTTTAAACTGAACCACACAGTAAACAATTTAATTCATCTCATTGGTATTGTATTTAAAGTAAATATTTATTTATTTATAAATCTTCTGTAAGGGAAGGGTTCCATTTCATGAAACTCACTTCAGTCTCTCAGTGTCATCACTCTATTATTTATCAATTTCATGTAATAGATGCACATTTCAGAGGGGGAGCATTTTTTGGCTGAAATTTTGGGTGAAATATGCCTTTAACACTCATTGCTCCTCAAAAAAACTGAAGGGATATCTCACCCCAAAATTAAAAATGTACTCTCTGCGCTTCTAAACTGTTATGAAATTCATTCTTCTATTGAACACAAAACAAGAAGCGCAGCAGCCATTGACTTTCAACGCATATTTTTGTTCCTACAATGAAAGTCAGTGACTGCTTTTTTTTTTAACATTCTTGAGTATATCTTCCTTTATGTTCAACAGAAGAAATATACACAGTTTAGAATGTGTGGAGGGGGATTAAATGATAAAATTTTTTATTTTGGGTGAACTACCCTTTAACGAATCATCTTTGAAAGTAACTCTTTTTCATTGCTGTTGATCCAAGAATCTCCCATGATCCAGCGAGGTACCCTCGATATCTCCCAGAGGCGTACTGTTTGTGTAAGGGATGCCTGAGCGGTCTGAACGGTGAGGAAAGTGACCGCTTCCGCAGCACTCCAGTCTACATGCCGACTGTCATACTGCGCCGCACCGTGGGCCCTTGTGTGGGAGGCCGTCATTCCTACACAGAGAGCTATGTGTCCATCGCTGTGGGCTGTACTTGTGTGCCATTGTTGGAAAAAGACAGTAAAATACAGAAAAGCAAGCCAAGTGTGAGGAGAGTCGCTTCCAAAAACACAGTCTCCAGCACCTTCAGGAAGAATGAACTCAACTGATCATTTTAACATTTTTTTGTGGAGTAATTCATTTTAAAGAATTTTCCTCCACAGTTTTTGCTCTCACCAACCGAAAGAAAACTTCAGACAGAACTTGGCACTCAAGACTAGAATCTGCAGCTGTGAGGGCAAGCGAAAGGAAAACTTTTAGTGCCAAAACACAAACATTTACTAATCCAAAGTTGGGAAAAGTCAGTCATCATCATGCTGTTAAATAATACAGTATATCTGAGCACAAGTGTACAGCGGATCACCACACACACATTTCTTTTAAAGCCAAGCATGAGTGCTACAATAATAGATATCATTTACACACTAGAGCATATTATTCAGCTTGACTTTTTGTCGGCCCTTTTATGACTGCTTTATTTTAAACAGCATAGGTAACATAAGTCTAGTGTATGGTAGATTATATACAAATACTTTAAGCCCATGTTATGCTCTGACTCCAATGATTTCCAATGCTTCAGTTTTGTGACTGAATGTTTTTTAAATATGTGCTCAGCTGACAAAGCAAGTCAGCCAACGCATAATCAAAGACTGATCACAGATCTCTGATGAAGAGCCAATTTCTGCGCTGTGATCTCTGGGTCCTGCTATTCTCCAGTTGGAGTGAGAGGATTTATTGTCCCAAATAATCATCTGCTAATGTTCAATAGAGAAAACAGGGCTCAAATGATGTCCGTCTGAAAGATTTTCATGAGAGAAGCCTTGATTCATAGTTAACATAACAGCGGAACTCATTGGCAAGATTATGATTGTGTTTTGGTAAAAAACTGCACATCTTCAGATCCAGAAGTTTCCCAGCATGCTCCTCCATGATGGCTCCTGCAGTGTAAAGGTTTGAATGAGGATCAGAGACAGATACAATGTATCCAGTAAGTATTCATACAGTAGGCTTCATAGACCTTTTTCCAAAATGGATTAAATTCATTTATTTCCTCAAAATTCTACACACAATACCCCATAATGACAATGCGAAAAAAACGAGTTTTTGAAATTGTTGCAAATTTATTAAAAATAAAAAGCTGAATAATCACATGTACAATACAGGCCTGATTTGTTGATTGCTGCACAGATTGTCCTTCTGTAAGGTTCTCCACTCTCCACAGGAGAAAGCTGGAGCTCAGACAGAGTGACCATCAGGTTATTGATCACCTTCCTGACAAAGGCTCTTCTCCCCTGATCACTCAGCTTAGATGGCCAGCCAGCTCTAGGTAAAGTCCTGGTGGTTGCAAACATCTTCCACTTACCGATGATGGAGGCCACTGTGCTCATTAGAACTTTTAGAGCAGCAGAAATTTTTCTGTAACCTTCCTCAGCCTTGTGTCTCGAGACAATCCTGCCTCAGTGCATGTCAAAGGAATTGTCTGTAGACCGCTGTCAACCCTGGGACCTTATATAGACAGGTGAATGCCTTTTCAAATCATGTCTAAATCTAAACCTAATTTACCACAGGTAAACTCCAATTAAGCTGCTGAAACATCTCAAGAATGATCAGTGGAAACAGAATGTACCTGAGCTCAATTTAGAGCTTCACGGCAAAGGCTGTGAATTCTTACTGTATGTACATGTGTTTTTTTTTTTTAATTTGCAACAATTAAAAAAAAAACTCTTTTTTTTTTCACATTGTCATTATGGGGGATTGTGTGTAGAATTTTGAGGAAATAAATTAATTTAATCCATTTTGTAATAAGGCTATAACATAAAAAAACAGACAGACACAGATAGTTAGATAGTTAGATAGATAGATAGATAGATAGATAGATAGATAGATAGATAGATAGATAGATAGATAGACAGACAGACAGACAGACAGACAGACAAGCACTTGCCTGTACAGAGCAGGATTTTGCCTTTTGTGAGGTGTTTAACGGTGAGTGTGACCTTGCTGAGACACTCCTCTGACAGGTACGGTGGATCTGCGATGACGATGTCAAAGCTCTGAGGAAGCAGATCCTCAGGCAGACACAGAGGATTGTTGTAATCGTAAAAAACAAACTCGTCTCCATACGCTGCGAAACGCCTGTCAAACTCCAGCAAAACAGCAGACACACCTTCTGACCGCACAGACTCCAGCTGCTTCAGCTTCTGATACACACTCGGTGCACTTAAGCAGGCGATCCTGCCACACACAGACATAAGAAATGAAGACTCGTATTTAGAAACAATGTGCTTAATTGTAAAGATGACTTCAATTTCAAGTAAATGCTGTACTTTCTTTTTTGAGATTAATTGTTTCTTCAAAATATTCAACTGTTTTTAACAGTGCTGATAATGAGAATATAAAAGCACCAAATTATTGCAGAACTAGAAGACTTAATTGTGATAGTGAAGGATTGTTATAGGATCAAGCCTTTTTAAAATGCATTAAAATAGAAACATTCATTTCAGATTATAATCATTTGACAGTGTGAATTATTTTCATGTTTTGCAGTATTTTAGGTTGTGTTAATGCAGCAGTAGTGAGCATAAGTTACTTTAAAACATCTAAGAGCAATATAGAGCACAAAACCCCATTACCTTAGTGTGTTTGTACAGGCATGAACAATTTCATTCAAAAACAAGTCATCTGTGCCCCAAGACCACAAAACAATCTATAAGGTTTGATTTTTGTAAATTTATCATCTGAAAGGCTAAAAAAAATAACCGGACAATGTTTGGCCAAAAGTATCTATTTGTAAATCTGGAATCTGAGGGTAAACAAAAGCGAAATGTAGAGAAAATGACCTTTAAATATTTTAGCCATGCTTATACCCATTCAAAATGTACATTTTAATAAATTTACAGCAGGAAATTCACAACATGTTTTCATGAAACATGAGCTCTACTTAATATTCAAATAAGTTTTAGCATAAAAGAAAAATGTATATTTTTGCCTCATGCAATGTACTTTTGACTGTTCCTTTAATTATAGCTGTAATTTACAAAATATATACCAGCAGCAATTTACAGGACTCAAATCAAACACTAATATTTGGAAGAAGAAACGATGCAAAGCATACCATGATAATAACATGGCAAAGTGATACACCCAGATCACATTCCTCCTGTACAATGTTGTTTCTTAATGGAAGCAAAGTCATTATTGATGAACTATCAGCCCTTATTCGAGAGAGTATGTGATTTTGGATGCCGCTTTATTAAAGGCAACTATTCTTTTATATGAATGAATGTTCTAGTTCAAGCCCATCATTACTACTCTTGTATTTGTTTGCATTTCAGAATGGTTGCACAAATGTAAAATCTTAAGACAAACCTCCCATGTTCTCCAGCCTGCTGCAGGAGCTCCTCAGCTAACCGTGAGGCTGTTTCTTCACTGTACCAGAACTGACTCATGCGCTGTGGACAAACACATTCAATCTTTAAAATGGACTTTTTAACAGATACTACTTTTTTTCATTAGATTTTAGGTCATTAGGGTTATTTGATATGAGTACCCATTAAACAAATACAAGCACTTATTCTTTAGATACTTGCTTTAATTTCAAGAGTGACAAGTAACATTTCATGTTTTGGTCTTTGATTTGTCACTGAGATTAGAAGCCTACAACAGTATTCAGCTGTGAATAATTTTCATTTCACTTTATTTTAGAGTGTGTGTATACACTTCAAGAACCAGGTTTACAAGTTAACTACATGGTTATTGTTAGATTCAGGGGAAGGTTTAGGCATAGTACCTACTTATTACCCAGAACTAATGAGTACATAGTATTTCCACACAAGACAGGGTTGTAAAATGAGGTGCTACATTGAGTATCTAGTATGTAAATACGAATTAAACAGTCAATAGTTTAACTTCAAATCTACCAGTAATTATTCAGTAGATGCGATTTATTTAGTTAAATATTAGCACATATTTGTTAAATAGTAATTACTCTGTAAGTACTACCATCTATTACATACCCCCATTTACTCAAAAACTAGATATAATAAAAGATATAATAATAGAAATATAATAATTATCTTTTAAAAACTAAATATAGTTACTATTAATGAATATCTTACTTTAAAATAATATCTACTAGTCACATGAAAATCATGAGTAAGTTACCAGTCAAACATGAAGAGTTGTAGCTTAATGACAGAAGAACCGCACAGACAATCAGTAACTTACTTGTAACAACAATATAGTTGTTAGACACTATAGAATCAAATGCTAATATCTAATGAGCAAACACTGGTCTTTAAATCATCAGTGACAGGCTATATACATGTAAAACGCGAGTAGTGTAGTGTATCAGCACCCAGTCCTCCTCGACTGCACCGACACTGAACTTGTCAGTTTTGGCGGTGTCTTGTCCTGCTCTTCCAGTCTCGGCATAAAACTCCTGCAAAGCTGCCAGTGTGTCCGCAGAGAGCTGAGGTACATCATCATCATCACTGTCACTCATGATGAAGGAGCCTTTATATTAAAAGACGACACGGATGCATGTGAACTGAATGACTGAGGTAACGTACAATGAAGAAACATTAGCACAACGCTCATTCAATAATATCCTAACAGCTCTTGCTAAGGTAATTGTCGCAAATTAGATCTAAAGTAGAAATTATTTGCGTTTAAACACTTACCTAAGTGCGGAACGACCCTCTTTAAAATGTGTACAAACTTAAGATAGAGGACCAGGACAAACACAGCCTCACACACGTGTTTGAACTACGGTGGCCGAGCGAGTACAATCGCGCTGCAATTCAACCATAGGCTTTACAAACGAATCTGGCGAAGAGAACTTATTTTTGGTTCTTTGGGTTGTATTTCATTGTAGAACATCACTAGTAAGGGAAAGTGTCACCACTATAAAATATAATATTTTAAACCATCCTACATAATCCAGGAAAAAACGGCAGAACTTGTAAACAGTCTATGTATGATGCATATGTAGTATCATATACATATACAGGAGTCAACATTTGAAGTTGTTCAAAACGTTTCAATAATATTTTCCTAAAATTATTCAACAACTCCTTGTCTGAACAATTTTGAAAAACTTTGATACGGT